GAAAAATATTTTTCTGGATATCAATAATTAATCCTTTTAATGTAGCCAAACCATAGATAGAATGATAGCTGATGTCAATGTAGTCTAATATTCCCCAAAAAAATAATATTCAAAGAAGTGTTGGGGATAGGCCAGTTTATACAGAATACCTCCTGTATGACATGTAGTTACTTTTGCCTTTGCTTTCACATTCCTATAAGACTTACTCTTTTCAAAGAGGTTTGTAAGTCTCCATACAGCTATTTATTTATTTCTCATCTTCCCATCTGCTTTGCCTATCAATATTCTGTTGAAAACTTCTGTTGGATAAACTACAGTAGAACAGGTGAAATGCTTCAGTGTTTTTTTTTTGTTTGTTTGTTTGTTTGTTTTTTTGTTTTTGTTTTTTGGTTGCTTTTAACTGAATGAGTACTGAATGACCTGGTGCTTACTAACTACATGTATTACGTTGTAAACTACAGACGGTTACTATATCTGATTGAGAACATCTGTCATGGCAAATATTCAGTTGGTACCTGATGTTTTGATATACACTGTATGATGGCCAGCTTCTGAGAACTCAGCATAACACTTGGGCTTTGTTTAAGTCCCCTGTTCAAAGTGGTGAGAGAATCTCAAAATGGTGAGAGAATCTATTTAAGGCCATTCAATCACTGTGTTTAAACATCTGCTTAAACTGAGTGTACTGGTTCAACTTGTGTTGAACTCCTCCTCATGCATTACATGTATGTTCCATTTTGTCAATAAGTTCAGGAAAGGTGTGTGTGTGTGTATGGCAGAATATTTTTCTTGCTTTATCTACTTGAATGTTCCTGTTATCAAGTAATTAAAATAATGAGCACTTTGTGAAACAACAGGTAAGCAGACTGGGTAAAGATAGTATTATCTTACTTGTAGCTACTAAGCCTGTAAATAATTAAACAATTACCATCACTGTCAGATTATTTTTAAGCACCTTTTTCAGGTTGCAGTGTTGGTTCGTTAATGCTTTGAGGTGAAGAAATAACAATAGGACAGGACCATACAGATAATAACAGCACTGATTTGTACATAGTGTAAATGAAATCGGAGTTTAAATCTCCCTTAGTGATATCTACACAACTGCATAATGATTTGGGAATAAACTTTTGTTAATACTTGACTGCCAATTAAGTAAGCTAATAAGTTATCCATGGAGATGAAAATATAAAAACATTCCAACTGAATATGAATATTACATAATAATGATTTGCCTAAATAGTAGTTAGAGCTACAATGATAGCAGGGGTTAGGCTTGCTGTGTAGCTGATCAGGAGACTGTGCTCCAAAGGATACTTGTCAGGGGATGATTGTATTACTTACATGTTAATTAAGAAGTAGTACACATGCATAAATACAGCCATCCAAGGGTATTGCAGACTTGAGTACCTTCAGAGAATGAAATTCTGGATAAATCTGTCACATCTTATTGCTCTATTCTTCTGGCAACCAAAAATTGATTCAACTCCACAAAGAACTCCAGAGAAATGGAACCTATTGAAAATATCAAGGTTACCTTTTTCCTTCAACAAGTAACTCATCTGCTATTTTTATTGTATATCAGGAAATATTATTTTTACATTCTTATGAATAATCACATCTTGCAAATTGTTTGATATATTGATAAGAAGGTTGGGGTAAGGAACATGTAAACAATAACAATATTTTAATAGTTTAATGATTTAAAGTTCACTGCCACAAAATGGATTTTTCCATTCAGATCTTTTCATTTTATGACTTGTAGTTCTGTGACTTCTTATAACAATCCATAATTAGGAATGTTTTTTAGCAGGGTATGCATCGTTGTGATTTCAAATAGGAGTGCTGGATGGAAAAATCAAAGAAGTCTGTGGTTTCATCTCAGCTCTGGTGAGGCTGCACCTCAAGTACTGTGTTCAGTTTTGGGCCCCTCACTCCAAGAAGGACATCGAGGCACTGGAGTGTGTCCAGATTGGGGCTACAAAGCTGGCGAAGGGCCTGGAATACAAGTGCTGTGAGCATCAGCTTAGGGAACTGTGTTTGTTTAGTCTGGAGAAGAGGAGGCTCATGGCAGGCCTCACTGCTCACTTCCCTGAGAGGAAGTTGTGGGGAGCTGGGGGTTGGCCTCCTCTCACAGATAACTAGTGATAGGCCTAGAGGGAATGGCCTCAAGTTGCGCCAGGGGAGGTTTAGGTTGGAAATTAGGGGACATTTCTTCTCATAGAGGCATTGGAATGGGTTGCCCAGGGAAGTGGTGGAGTCACCATCCCTGGGGGTGTGTAAGGAAAGGTTGGACCTGGTGCTTCGGGGCATAGTTTGATGGGTGACATTGGCAGTAGGGCGATGGTTAGACTGGGTGATCTTGGAGGTCTTTTCCAGCCTTAATGATTGTATGATTCATCCTTGCTCTGCCACTGACTTCTCTGGTGACTGACTTAGGCACCTAATCACTGTCTCAGTTTCTTATATGACTGGATGAGATAATTATATTTCCCTTACTATGAAAACCACATTAATACTGTAATTCAGTGTAAGCTTGTTCAGAGCATAAATTGGAGCCTACGTGCTTCACATAGGAGCATCATGCAGTAAAATCTGATTTTAAAAGTTTACAGTCTGAAAGACCAGCTCTAACAGCTACAAAAGAGAGACAAACTGGTGGAGAGATAGAAATAAATGGTGTGGAGACCATGTAATTTTTAACAAGTCGGGGGCAGTCAGGGCCCTGCAGGGCCAGGGCATACCCAGCCTAGCAGCCAGGGCATGTCAGCCAGGGCCTGTCTCACTGCCCCAGCCAGGAGATGCCCTGGAGAGGAGGGCAGGCTGAGGTGTCAGCCTGTGCGTGAAGGTCAGGATCAGGCACAGTGAGAGGAACCAGGGTCAGAGACAGCTGCTGAGCAGCCAAGTTAGTGTGGCCCTGTTTGATGGCACCTGCAGCTGGGTAGGGCTAAAGGCTGTGGGCAGGGCTGACATGGAGTCCTGGGCCATGGGCAGGGTTGGAGGAGCCCTCAGAGGGGAGGGGTCAGGGCCTGTGAAGCCTATGAGTCTCCCAGAGCCATGGAGATACATCTAGTTTGACTAAACGTCAACATCCTATTGCATTACACTGACTGTAATGCATACAACCACACCTACCACTTAAGAAAAAAAAAAAAAAAAAGAAAGAAAGAAAGAAAAAAAGAGGCTTCTCATTTTCTGTCTCTTTCCTGATGTCCAGGCATTTCTTTAGGATCTGTATGGCTGGATGATGATAAGGGTCACAAATCATTCCTGGCTGAACATTACTGTCCTGGAAATGCCTTGTGCTGCATGCATCACATATTACTGTCCTAAGCAATGAGCTCATTTCTGTAGGTTGTGCTTTGTGCCTGTGCAATGCAGTATACTTCCTTCAATGCTGAGTGTAAAACATCTGATTCATTGTATCCATATTTATCAGGGAATGAGGTCCAGTTATGCAAATACAGAGTATCTTTTATCTTTTGTCTCATTATTTGCTTAGAAATATTGAATTTAGGTTTTGCTGAACTTCTGTTGTAACTGTGAGTAATTTATTAACAATATATCCACGTCATGCACATTGCTAGTAAGACATAGCCCACATTTTGGGTGGGAGAGTAGCAGATAGGAATCTGATTAGCTAATTAAGATGCAAAACTGAGATTCTACAAAAACAACTGTTGGTCCCCATATTACATTTTTAATGTTGTTCTGCTGCTCTTTTTTGACAGATTCAGTGTAACTGCTTTATTAGTTCAGTGCTGCTCTAAGAAAATGCCATTTCATTTATGTCCACTTGTGTCCTCAAGGTCATCTCAGAACTGCGAGTTCTGACCTTGGTAGTGCAGTATTCCTATAGCAGTAATAATTACTCAACTAGTGTCAAACATGTTTTTATAACAAAAATCCCAAAGAGGATTAATGAGAATTGATTTTCTGCTTAGTGGCTTGTAAGTGATTGATATACAAACAAGATCTTTCAAGCTGTTGGTCCATACTACATGTTTGAAGTACTAATGTAGATCTATGGGTGCAGTTCAAGTACTCAGTACTTACCTTAGTACTGAATTTTTGCTGCTTCCCTCACACTTTGCTTGTTTAGCATAACTTGTCAAGTATTCAGGAAGTCATTAGTATTATGCTGTCACCAAAGGCATGCTTATGGCACAGTCTGATACTTTGCATACGGCATGTTTTAAATGCTGTACAATCCAAGCTGGCTTTTCCTATTATCATTTCCCTTGATTTTTGTGCAGCATCCGTAGCAGATAGCAGCATCCGACTGCAGCAGATAGCAGGCAGTTGCAGAGCATGACATCCTTGCTGAAGCATCCATGAGAGACTGATCTGAATTCCAATGCATGTGACTCATCAGTGCAGATGAAGTTCCTGTTTAATTTCTAGCTGTCTGTTCTATGAGAACCACTTATTGACAGAAGAATTCCTGTGATGTATTAAACACTTTCATTGAAACACTGGTTGATGATAGCATGGCAGCTCACTGCAGGTTCTCTGTGGAGTATTTTGTTCACCTCACACTTAATGATTATGGTCTTGTTATATGAGTCTTCTTAACAAGGGCTTGCACAGATAATTAGTTGTAGTGACAGTAAATTAAAATTGTGCATATTTTACATTTACCCTTCGCACATGTTTTGAACAAAAAAATCAAACAGACCTTTAGTGTATGTCTCATACTTTTATATGTAGCTCTGTAATTGCATACATGGCTGTTGGCAATTATGCTGCATACAGGCAAGTAACATATAGCATATTTGATGATTTCTGATTTAATGTCAAGAAGAGTATTATTATCTAGCAGTTAGTCTGGTACCTTATAGAACAACTATTTCTAGAGAGACATGGCTAAGTAGGTGCGTACTTTCATCTAGCAGGATGGTTTTGCTTATAGGATTGCTCATAGCATTTCTTAGTCATGACTGTATGCTGACTTTCACTGTCAAACTGTTAAACATTAACAAACACAAACCTTTCCTTTGCAGGAGGCCCAGAAGATCAATGGTGGTGGAGATACACAGGCAGATGGGGCCTGCAAACCAACAGATGAAAAAGAAGAGAATGTGGCAGCAGAAGTGGGATGGATGACCTCTGTAAAAGATTGGGCAGGAGTCATGATATCTGCCCAGACATTAACTGGCAGAGTACTTGTAAGTTTTTTGTGTTTTATTTCTTTTTTTTTTCTTTTTTTTTTTTTTTTTCTATATATGTATTTTAAAGAGCATTTGTTACACAAGCATTGTGTTCCAGCATTAGTGGAAGATTTAGAGTTGATGTGTTGCACCAGCACGAAGTCAATCCCAGTTTTCTCTCTGTTGGAAGTTAAATAGTTTACTAATTCTTACTATAAAGAGAAGCAGAGATGGCAATAAAGAAAAGCTTCTTTCTGCCATAGTTTCACCTTTGCCCTAGCCTGTTTCAGTATTCTGGCACTGGGATTCTGAGCTCTGAACACTAATACTAATAATTTCATGTTTGTATTATGTTGTAAAACTATAGGTCTATTTTGTCTGGAAGAAAATTGTGCTAGTAAAAATAGAAGCCAACTAGGAAAATAAGCATTATATAATATGTGTAGATAGTGGTCAGAACTGTAAAGCAGAGACAAATCTGAACAGAATATGTGATGATAGTTGTGCACAGACACTTCCAATAGATTAGGAATGACTTTATGTTCTCTTGAGTTCTTCCTTTATGAAGATATAAAATATTTTTATTATGAAGGAGTTATATATCAAATAGAGCCACAAATCAGATCACGATAATCTGCGATTTAAAGCTGTGGTAAAAAACTTTACAGTTTTCACTTTGAATATAATTATTTTATAGCCTTGTGAAATCATACTTGATTACCAAAGGCTTCGTCTTGAATCCACTGCAGTTAAAGGTGTCTCATGTGTGATTTTGATTAGTTCTCTGTTAGAAAGCAAATACTGACTAGCAGCCAAAGCAATTTAAGTCCTATTTAAAACTTGTATGATTCCAGTGAAATTCTTGAACTAGTTTCAATTAAAATTAAAACAGTTCTTGATAGCTTACTTCGGTTAAGAGATATGTTACGGTCAGTTCTTATATGTAGAACAATTATTTGGCAGTGGGGATAGAAGGAAAAGAAATGAATTTTCTCATCCTAATAAAGTCCTTTACAGTTAGAAGTTGAGGTGGCTTAGTTGCTACTGTCTTGTTTAATTCTGCATTAATATTATTTTGATTATTTTTTCCTAAACAAACAAAAAACCGACACTTCTGCCTATTTGCTTATGTTAAACGCTGACTTACATCAATATGTTAAAAGTATGTTCTAGTGCCACACTTAGCATTACATCTATTCAATGTCAAACTGACATATTGATCATTTTATAAGAAGCAGCATATTGATCTTTTACGTTTTTCTGACATCTTCAGCATTAAAAGTGACAAATTTAGGCTTGACATCAGGAGGGGGTTCTTCACAGAGAGGGTGGTTGCACACTGGAACAGGCTCCCCAGGGAAGTGGTCACTGCACCGAGCCTGTCTGAATTTAAGAAGAGATTGGACTGTGCACTTAGTCACATGGTCTGAACTTTTGGGTAGACCTGTGCGGTGTCAAGAGTTGGACTTGATGATCCTTAAGGGTCCCTTCCAACTCAGGATATTCTATGATTCTATGAAATATTAGAGTCACGTTTCTTTTTCTAGTTTAAGCATCAAGGTTAGAAATCATGCAAAATAGTCTTTTGCTATTAGCTATGTAATCAGAAATAAGCCTATATTGTTCTTACTGAGGGGAATAGGAACAAAAGTAAACCAACAGTCTAGGCCAAAACACAAACTATAAAACATATTTTATTTTGTGATTTTCCTTCAAGATACTAGGAGAACTTATTGGATTCCATTGGATTTATTTATTTTTATTTTTGTGTGTGTGCTAAGTTTATTGTTGCATCTTACAAGGAACTGGTTTAATTTCAGAGTTTTATTTGTTGGCAGATGAACAGCATCACTGAGTCAGATTACTTCTGAGAATATTTTGATGTTCTTCTCAAATAGGACAACAGCTACTGTACACATCTGGGCACATCAGTACGAGAAACAAATGGTCATATATGGGGCCTGTTAATTTTCATTAGTTTAGAAAATGAGATACATTTATTTTAATGTAGTACTCACCAGTTTCAGGATTTGAATTTATTTGAATACGATGTAATTTTTGGAGGACCATTTGCAGTGTCAACACTAACTGTTCATTTAAAATTTACATTATGGTTATATTTGCTAAAGGCTAACTGCTTCAATGAACTTTTGTGCTGAAGGGAATATTCACGTTATTTGTAGATATAGGATATAGCTAAGTCAAGTCAATATTTTTATAAAGTAAATACTGTTTAAAAATATTATGACTTACTCATGAATTCCAACTAACTGAACAGTCTGTTTCTACTAGCTATTGTATTTCTGAATCAACACGTGTATTATTATTATTAATTTTTTTTTTGCCTTGGAGAATGAGCTAGTGGCCTTACAGTGCTACAGAATCAAAACTGTATGAGATATCTGCGGAAATTATAGTACCTTTTTACACTGTGAGATTTTAAATTAAAATCACTCTTTGCACTAAGCACTGCTTACTGCTGTAGGAGCTTAAATTCCACACTGACATTTCAAAAGTGATTTGTGCATGAAGGAATATTCACACTACCCAGTTTTATCTGAAGGGCAGGTTTTGGAAGAAGGCATTTGTAGCAGATGATCCAGAATGTTTTCCAGTTAGAATCCCTTTTTGTCTCCTGAAGTGGTGCAGAACACTGAGTTAGCTAAGCACGATGATTACAGTTGTGTGGTCTGAATATCCTTTTCCTCATTTTTGAGGTTTTAAAAACATGCCTGGAACTTAATATTCTTGGTGGCACAACCTTTGAAAATATGACTCATGCTCTTATATAATGTAGATAAGAATTTTACATACTGTTTAAAAATGTCTCTTTATTAAATTACATAAGCAAATGATTTAAGAACATGCAAACTGAACCCATCCAGTACTGTTTGCAGTTGATGTCATAGATCTAAATCACCAAAAATGGTGAAAGTTGCCTGAAGATCTGCTCAGGGAAGTGCTGTTTAAGTGCAATATAATGTAGATGTAGATGATGGAAGTATCAAATAACAATTCCTGAGTTGAGCTTCTCAGAAAACAATCAGACACATTCATAATTAATCTGAACAATCAGGAAATTGAAGGTGTTTATGAACTGATTTTGCTTCCTGAAATTAGTTTTTTTATTCGTTCAAGTAAGAAGAAAAAGACTTCTGTAATTAGGTAATTAAAAGTACATCATGATATATAAGAGAAAACTGTAAGTGTATTGTTGAAGTTACCACAGTTCAATCTAGGACACAGTTGAGTGTGGACTCTCCTGCAAACCAGCAAAGAAAATCACTATTTCAATTGCAAATCTGAGAAATAAAATGGCAGAGCAAGTTGCTGTTTTCTTCTGTTTTAACACAAGATCTGTGAATGCGTAGCAGAGATAGAAGCTTTACTTAGCTATCTGGTGCTGGGTGCCATGTGGTGGTTTTACCTGCTGCCTTGACTCACAGTAACAGAAAGAGGTCAATTTGTATTATATTATAATATATAAAGCTTTTTTTTTTTTTTTTTTTTTTAATCACTGCATAAGGAAAATGTCTTTTAAATTGGCAATGTTGAAGGAAAGAGGAAAACAAGCCTTTTTTGGTGTGGCAGGTGGGGGTGGGCAGGGAAAGAGGAGTGACATAGACAAATAGTGACAGCGGTATATTAATGAAGTTTTTTCATTAGAAGACTCCTAAGGTTGATTTCTTAATATTCTTAATGCTTATTAACTCTATTTAAATATCTAAAGAAGAGGAAGAGCTTTGAGATAAATAGTAATAAAACTTGTGACTAGGTTTTGCCTAGCCTTCTGTAAGGTTTGAACATCATAGTTTCTGAGATACTGGTGCCAAAACTTTAAACGTCTGAATCAAAGCCCACCAAATCAATAGAGAATATGATGAAGTTTTTCTATTGAAACATCCAGACACTTGATTGGAATTTTGAAGAACGGCTGAAAATGTTGTAAGGCCTAACTGCTCATTCAATAGAAGAGTGGCGTATTTCTATGACTGAAATTTTTCAACAGTCGTCTATTTTGTTTGTAACCATCACAGTTTAATTATAAATACATATGATGCTGAAATACAAGTAAATTTGCTATATTATTGCTTACTCAAGAAATAATAAGTGTCAGTAATTTTTCCTTGAAGAAGTTGTAGTTTTTGTCAATAAATACGATCCTAAATAAATAGGATCGTATACTTTATTATAAAAAAGATAGCAAATAATAGTACTCCATTAGGGAGGAATAAAAAGCATACATGAAGCAATGGAATAAAAAATACTTTTTTTCTTATTGTTGTTTATAGTCAGAAGAATAGTTTGAGAGCTGGTAGAGTGTTTTGAAAAAAAAAACGAAAAAAAAAAACAAAACAGTGGATTTTTAAATATATGATAAATTATAGTAGATTTTGCTGGCAAAATACATAAATATGCTATATCCTTTTTTTTTTTTTTTTTAGGGTGTTTTTACAGTAGAAAGAGCTTTACTCTTTCTACATGTTTATTTTTATTTTTCTGAAGGATTGGATTCAAATTCTTTTAACGTTAAGGGGAAAAAAAAAAAACACAACACACACACGCAAAAACCCTCTTGCAATAATTTACAGTTGCCTAGCAGCCAAAGTAAAATTTAGCAGCATAGAAATTATTTGGATTTCTCGGTGCTTCCAAAGGCAATAACAGTTCTTTCATGACTTTAATGAGGCAAGGTGCTTGAAGGATAAATTTGTAGCCCTGACAGATATGAATTTGGAGAAGGCAGGTACATTTGGTATACATACAATTTTTTCAGCGTTTTTGACAATATCAGCTATTTTACTACATTTCCAGAGCAGAAAGAGAAGCCTTGGGCAGTATACGATATCACGGAATTGGGAGTTGAGCAGGATTTCTCGATGGTAAACAAAGCTTTTGTAAATTTTTTTCTTTCTTTCCAGCGTGGGATCCCATCACTCAAGAGGAGATCTCTTGCAACTAATCTTTTTGTCGCCTTAACAGCCTTTATTTTTTTTTTTCTGATCACCTGTGATGTT